GGGGGGGGGGGTATTGTGCGGACAAACAAAACTGGACCAAACCTCGTAAAGAAGAACTCGTCGCGCAGACGAGGAGGGACGCGGTGACCGCCCACGACCGACCGCCACGCTCACCGGAAAGCACAGCAACAGAAACTTAAGCGAAAAGGCGGCAGGAAGGGGCTGCCTTTTTGCATCCATGACGTTTCTTCCCTTTGCTCCCATCCCCCTTACCCCACCCCACCCGAACTCCCGACCCCTGTGTTCTGCTTCTCAACCACATCTTTTTTTCCTACAGCCGAAGAGACGGAGCTGCAGTGCTGCGCCATCGAATACTTTTCCCGGGATCCGTTCGGCCCTGAGCTGCAGGACGCCGTGCTCGCCATCCCATGTGAGTAAGGCTAAGGCTACAGCCTATACCCCCCCCCCCCTCTCTCTCATAGAGGGCCGCGCTGTGACGTCCTGCGCCCTGCAAATCCCCTGCAAACTGGAGCCGCCCTTAGCCGGCGCGTCGAACTAGAGGAGGCCCTTCTCTGCCACTGCCCCGCCCGCCCCAACCCCAAGGCCGTGGGGACGAGGCCCCTGGGAGCGGCTCGGGGGACAGACGTAAAGTGGCGGGGTGGGCGGGGCCAGGACAGTGCAGTGCCACATTGCGGCAGCGGCCTGCGTCTCCCGGGGGCCACCTCCGGGCGGAGGGGTTGGCGCCGCGATGGTCGGGGAGCCGTCAGATTAAGATGGCGCATGGACGACGAATAGACAGCGGACGGTCGGAAAAATGGATAGGTAGCAACAGCAACCCAGTATGAAAGGCTTAGCAACGTCTTTGTTTTTGTTTATGATTGTTTTCATCTCAGCTCAGAAATTGCTCACCTTAATAAAATTGCTGAAAGTCACCCGAAGAATGTGCTCGGCTTGTGCACTTTCTTGAATTGCAATCAGTGTGGGTGTACGGTGCACGGAGAAAAATGTTTGACCAAAAACGATTGCTTGTTGTGACTAATATGGTGTTCAGTCTGCCCCCTAACGTTCTGGTGTTTTACCCGATCTGTTTTGGTGCACGAACACAACCCGTGGTAATAAGAGAGAGAGACATATAAAGAGACGGAGAAAAGGGGGGGGGGAGGGGGGCCCCGTTGTTGGGGTGACCTGCCCTGTGGGCCACTACTCGGTCCGGCAGGGCTCGCCTCGGCGGCCCACAGCGTAGTGTTCAATTTAGGTAAAAGGGGTTCGGGGAACAAGATTTCAGCCGTACAGTGCGCAGTGATCCTCCGTGCCCAACCAACCCGGCCTGGTCCGTGCCGCCTGATGTCGGTTGCGGGTCCGGGCGGCTGCGCGCACCCAGGCAGCCGGTACAGCCGCAGGCGAGGGGCAACCAGACGGGCGGCGCGGACTGGGCGGGCGAGTTTTGAAGGTGCTGGCGCGTTGCTGGTGCTGGTGACCATGGCAAGTCCGGCCGGTCTCTGGGGCCTGGGCGGGTATGGCGGGCCGCGCCTTCCCGTGAAATGGACCGTGCAGAGGGATGGGGGTCCCTGTCTACATGAGGGCGCTGCAGGGTCCAGCTGGTCCAGCGGCGAGGAGAGGGTGGCAGGGGGCGGGGAGGGACTCAGATTCAATTGTGGCAGTAGGTGATAAGGCGCTTACAAGGGATCCTTTTCAGGTGCAAACCTCCGATTTCGACGACCCGGAAAAAGCATTCGGGTAGCACTGAAAACTTCTCCTCATTAAGAGCAACGTTTGGTCACCACCGCCGAAAAGAAAAATGTCTGTTGCAACTATAATGGTGTACAGTCCCCCCCCCCCCCCCCGAGTTATATATGACTGTAAGTTAGGGGGAAGACTGAACACCAGTTTAGTTACAACACCTAAAGTATTTTTCTTCGTGCTGAACCTGCTACACAAAAGCGTACAAAGGAGCTTTATTGACCTGGTCGTAATCGGCGAGATAAGCAGGAGGCTGTTGGGACGGAGACCACCTGGAGGAGTGTTGCGAGTGTTGTTGACCACCTGCTCGGTGTGCCCAAGGCGACGTGTACAGCCGGGTACAGCGGCACGGCACTGCACTGAAGGAAGGTCCAGCACCGAGAATGTAGGATGTTTACAACGAGATTAAGCAGGCGGTTTGACAACAAAACGCCTGCTAAGCAGGCAAATTAGCACGGTGCGGCTTCTCTCCCCGTCCCCACAGAAGAAATACAAACATGGCTCACTGGCTAGCGCGAGAGTGTAAGGTGCAGGGGTGCCGCGCGTGCCGCGCTCGGGCAAAAATTGAAAACAATTTCGTTAGCCCGTTAATATCAGTATATGTGTGTGTGTGTGTGTGTGTG